AGGCTACTTAGTACAGCTACCCACCAACTCGCTTAACGAGTAACGTTTATTCGTGTTTGTTTCATCCTGTTGTTGATATGTGAACACCCACACTGAGAAACATTTACATGACAAGTTACAAATGAGAAAAAACGTGGGTTCTGGATTTCACAGATACGCCTAGTCCAAATATGCAACGTTTTTGAATGATTACCAAAGCTCTGAAAATACAAGAATATTCATACATGTTATTTTAGTTTTTTCCTTACTAAAGTACAAACAATAAGTCATAACCGAATAGTAAAAACAGTATACTATATACCTTTTGAATGAGTATTTTATCAGCTGATTTAGGCCAAACAAGTAAAGGAAGTCCATGAGACCGGAATATTGAAACTTCAGAAGACAAATTTTGAGGAAACGATGGAATACTAAGATTATTTAGTTTGCAAACAGCCAAATCGACTTCAACAGGATTTGAGATGTCTGAGTGATTAGAGTTATTGCAATTTTCACATGTTTTGAGCGAAAGTTCGTCCAAATTTTGCTGTATATACAGATGAATTCTACTTTGACCAGTTATAACAAGAAGTTCACTTGCATCTGGAGGTGAGAGAAGTAACTGTGCCGACGATGATTTAAACAAAAAGGGAGGGTACAATGCTGCCTGCTTTTGTCGACAATCATTTATACAAAGCTTTTGAGATTCTGTTTAAAATGTAGAAGTGAAAGTATGTGAGAAAGCATCCATAACACAAAATGACCAACTGTGAGTTAAACCCAATAAAGAAAAACAATACTTAGAATATGATATAATAATCATACATAATCGAAGAAAGAGGATGATGGTTTCCCATCCTTTACTTGGACGGTTTATCGCATCAGATATTGCGTATACCTGGATCTATCGATCATTGAGACGATAACATAATATAAAATATAGCCACTAGAATACAACTTGGACCTCATAAAAACTGCTGTTAACCGATAACCATATATACTGATTAGTTTTTTACCTTTTAAATATCCTGAGTTTCTTTTTGAAACAGTTTAGACCAAACTGTTGACACTTTTAACGTAGGCAATTTGTTATTTGATATGTTCAGTATTATGATTATTTCTAATAATTTTATCTCTTTACTTACTATGGTGAAAATAATCAGACAATTAGAAGCATTATGGATAAATATAGGATGAAGAACCAGGACAAAAGGGAAGATCATTAAAATAAATATGCAAATAATGACAGAATGAAGGTCGACGATAATCAACGAAGATCAAGGTCGACAAGATAAGCTATCAGTCACGTAGGGAAATCTGGATAGTTCACTTGTATCCGAATTCCGTGGTGAAGATTTTAAGACTTTCGATTTCCAAGTCTTGAATTGAAGAAAATAACGTATTACCCTTGTCTTCAATTTTTATGATCAATATAAAAGCAGGGGTTAAAAGGATCCTTCAAATTTGTTGTGTGCCTTAACCAAGGTAAAGTATGAAGTTTCGGAGTCATTAGGAAAGACCGGGCTGACTGATACAACTGGGAAACATAATTATTATATTTGAAGATTAAGTTTAAATAAACTAGGATAGTCAGAGAAAGACACTGGGCTGAACTGTAAAGTCTTTGAATAAAATGGGCAAGTGGAGGCTTCACACTTCATCATGATGATAGAAATGAGTATTTAAGAGCAACTGGTGATGTAGCTCAGGATTGATCACAATAATAGTGCAATAAAATAGTAGTGATAAAACTCATTTGCCAACTACAGGTCTACTTATTCGACTTTTAATGACACAATGACTGCGGGGTAACAATACTGTCTGGTTAAAAATATACTAAACCGACTGCCTTCAATGTCTAGTCAAAGTTGAAATATCCTATGTCATATATCAGCACCAATTTCATATGATATTGAGTACAGGTTGTTGCTGGAGATCATGATGTCAACTACACTTCGTATTTTAGAAAGATTGAATGACGATTTCCTAAAGGAATGAAATGTTGGGGTCAGAATTTTAGTGTTTGGAGTGGTAGGGATCCAGGCTACATAGCTGTTCAAACCCAAGTAGATGAATAAAGATCAGGACGTGTGACGATATATTCGCCGTCATTTATACTGCACCATTTGACGTGCACTTTCACCCTTTTTATTGTTTGATATCACGTCTTGCGATGTTACTAAGTATGGGAACTTGAGTTTAATGTAATTCCATATAGGTTCAACAGCGATACTCTTATCTACTCATGGAATGATGATACGGTATTGCTAGAAAAAAAGTGGAAAGATAAAGTCTGCTAATGTGTTTCCAAAGAGATATAGACAGCATTCAACTTCTTCGGGCTTTAGCTTCTGAACTCCAAAGAAGCATCTGATGTTTGTACACCTTATTGATGTGAATGCCATGAATTTATTAAGTTCATGTTCACTTTGAGATTTTTGCTTGCTCATAAATGGAACTCATCAAATGTTGCTGCTAATAACTACGTAGACATCTTTATTTTCCGTAGTTTGTTATCACTTGACGGTTTTCCGAATATAATTATAGTAATGATAAAAGTATTCCTAGAAGCTGAAAGTCTGCCTTGATAGCGCAAAATGATGACAAAAGGTGGGTCCCTAGAAATAAAAAACGCCGGGCTTATTATTCTCTGGGGCGAATTAGATTTTGACTGATAGTGAATGCTATGAAGTGAAGCGTAATCAGAAACTGAACAGCAGTTAAATGTCTGTCACATGAGTCGAGAATCATTTTAAAAAATCGAGTTACTAGAAAACACTGCAAACCCCAAAAAGGTTAGGCATCCAGTAGTACACATATAACACTAAGAATGTAGCTACGCATAGAACACACAAGACAAGAATTTTAGCCATACCTTCATCGTCAGCGTCAACTTTATCCCCACCGTAGTATGAAGGCTTTTCTCTCAGTTTACCAACTTTCACATCCTATCTTAGAGGTAAATTCTAGAGTTACACTTCTTACCATTAAGCAACCGAAATATGAACGTTGATGTGGAGTTAGAAACAAAGTTAATTTTGTTGTGATGAAATAATTATTTCATTAGTCCAATCCAACCACCTTGAAGAAACTTACCAATATAGAAGGTAAGATTAGAAATACTGATCTAGTCTGAATAAGTAAAATATGTGTCATTACCTGGACTGTTTGAAGATCACTTTGACGTCAACAAGAAACTTCAGAGCATGACATCAAGTAGCGCAAAATTTGTACGTGTTTGGCGAACTCGAGGGCGTTATCAAGGTCACTGACAAATAGTTTCAAGCGATTGTAAAGTGACTAGAACAAAGATCCACTCATCAAATTTCTTTATATACACTCAACAGATTGCCGATTAATTCTCTGAAAAACCTATTTGTAAAGAAACAATATTCAAGAGTAAAAAGCTTTAGCCTTCTCTCGTGATCACGATATCGTGAAGATTTAGCTCGGAGTCATTAGAAGAGCATAGGAAACCGATTCAAACGTTCAGTTAAAAGACTTATCAGTACAAACTTTTTGCGAGAAAGTAACATATTACGATGTATCAGTCAAACTTCATTCTTAATTGTAACAGGTAGTTCAACAACTGACGGTAGTGTGCTATCTTCATAGATAAAATCTGTTCATGCGTTACATACTATATATTCGTTTGTATCTTTCTCCATAGTTTCGTCGATTCGGGCCGTGAATCCAATAGAGGGCATGAATGCACGTCACTTTATAGATTTTCGTGGTCGTCATGAATTTGGGGCTTGACTACTTCACATGGATAGTTCAAAGCACTAACACAGAGGACAGTGTCATGTCAATATGAAGAGTTACATCATTTGTTACATGTCACACACTACTGTACTTTCAGAATCATTGAATGAATGAGTACGGATTCGTATAGTTCCCTTGCACTTGGAAAAACATGACATGAATTACTGTTCACCTTAGAATATATCATCTCTGTGGGGTGCCAGTCTGTATTCTGTACAATTAGGTAGACAGCAACATCCATCTGTGATCCCTCTACAGCAGTAAATTCGGAGTCGTAAAGGTATCCTTAAAAACATTTGTTCATCCAAACAATCATATTTTACAAACAACAATGTTTCTGTCCAGTCACATCAGAAAGTGTGTCGGTTTAAACAAACGATAAAAGACTTAAGAAAATCAGAGTTACAGATAATAAGATTTCGGAAAGGAAATTAAATTACCACGTTAGCATTTAGCATAGTGTCATTACAGTTTAAGAGGCGCCTAACACAGTTCATTTTGAGATGGTGTAGTACGAAACCTATCAAACCATATACTCTTAGGGCAGCTTCGACCATGGCATTTTTGTCTGATAGGTGCGGCATTAAACTCGGCAGTTAGGATATTATGAGTTCAAAGGTTATAGAACACGTATGTGGAATGAAGATTGAACATATATATTGTTGCTCTCCTTTATGTTGGTTATTCGGGTGTAACTGTCTTTCAAGAGCAGAACGGTAAATCTACTTCCTAGTCCTTTAGCCGATCAAACACACATGATAAACAATTAAAAAAGTATCGATCTTCAAATAAGTCGGTTCTTACTCAGCAGTGTTTCACCTAACCTCGCGACACATCCTTTTCGTTTGCTAATGCACATTATGCAAACTCAAGAAGTTACACTTCAGTTTATATCTTTCGTCGTAGATCCATAAACCTCATCGTATACCAAGACGACTAAACTGAAGACAATATTCGTTGTCAATACAAGTTGGCTGCAGGCATACTGAGGCATGACGTTATTATTGTGAATTGCTTTTAATGCCTTTCGTTGTATGTACTTGTTTTCCTGTGTGTTTCAACAATCCGGCTTCTAGCCTTCTTGAATGGCATCTCGATGAACCTGAAGAGAGACACAAATGCTCAAAGGACGGTAAAATAATGAAACCTGTAACGACCGAACAGCCAATATTCGGTTGGAACAACGGACTGACGAACCCAAAATTTATTCGATTAGACCAGACCAAGTTCCTCTGTATAGCTCACAACGCGTCTTTGAGATACTCGTATTATATTATATCAAAACACAAACTCTGTGCTCAATATAAACGGTTCTAATTAAGAAAACAGAACAAATTACATCAAAAATACAAAATACCTCAAACGGTACAGCCTGTGCTATACAGTCAGAAGTTTCTCTAACGCAAAGTAGCGCGCTAAACAATGAAAGAGACAGTTAATACTAAAGGGTTTGATACCTGAGAATCAATACAAATATTCCCAATAAGATGGGATCAAATATCTATCTGCAGGGATTGCAGCAATTCTCCCAAGCAGACAGTCAGAGGGTTAACAGTCACAAAATGAACCACGCCGTGACCTTGAGCTTAGTCAAACACAACCTTACTGTCAATGGTCCGGCAACATGCAATAGAAAATTAGGTAACAAAAATAAGTCTTTAATCAAAATCACATAATAAAGGCTCAAACGGGGAAGACTGAAGAACAAAAGACATGGTTAAACGAGGTCGAAACAAAGGTTGGAATACACAAAAGAGAGAAGGAACAAATAAATGAAAATACTGTTCAACAAAGAAGCTGCAGAGGGATTTTCACTGTTCTTTTTCCGTTACACCGGCCCCCAAAATCCCTCCAGCTACGCAAAGACACCTTAGAATACATTTCTGTCATGGCTCTCCTTACTAACTGCTCTATATCAATGGGAGGCACAGGACTTACAACAGTACGCCTGTACATCCATAAACCTAAGCTACAATCCACAATTACTCGGCTCCCTCTAGAAGGCAGAGCTTTCGCACATCTCTTCTTACTACACCTCTCATTCGCACCATCACTGTCTCTTAGTAATAACAAAGTGTTTGGCGTGAGCACCAAATCATCCTTTTCATCTGACGTCGCAGGAACGATTGGGCGGTTGTTTAAAATTCGTTCTACCTCCACAAAATAAGTTGCCAAACTATCATCGTGTAATATTTGCCCGTTGGAAATAAATAGTAAGATCCCCCGAACAGACCGTATTAACCTCTCCCAAACTCCGCCCCGATGGCTAGTTAGTGGGGGGTTGAAATGCCAGCGTATACCCTTCGATACTGTTAAGTCGTTTATTCTATGCTTGTTCCACACACTCATATTAGCCCGTAATTCGGAAGTGGCCCCGACAAAGTTAGTTCCATTGTCGCTATAGATTTCATTAGGAGTTCCTCTCCTTCCTATGAAACGTATTAAAGCCATTATAAAAGCATCAGTACTCAAATTGAAAGCTACTTCCAAATGTACGGCACGTGTTTGGAGACACGTGAATAGGCATCCATATCTTTTTTCCTCACTTCTTCTCCGACGCACTATCAACGGCCCAAAATAGTCTATCCCGACGGAGGAGAAGCAAAACCAGCCTTGCTGCACTCGACACTTGGGGAGAGGTGCCATCATCTGTTGGCCTAATGTGGCCTTCGCGCGTATACACCTCACACATCTACCTATCACTCGTTTAACTGCACTGGTTCCTTTAACAATCCAATAATTTCGTGGTATGGTAGCTAACACTTGTGATGTCCCGGTGTGACCTTCTAGGTGATGATGGTGTCTAATAATAAGTTCTGTTACGAAGTGATGACTGGGTGAAATTGCCGGATGTCTGATTGAGAGTGGATAATCCGAGTAATTTAATCGTCCGCCAACACAAAGCAATCCATCGACTAGCGTAGGTGAAAGATTTTTTAGCTCTTTTATAACAGTTGCGCTTACGCCACTATATCGAGACACTTTAACTGCTTCCCCATACACTCCCTTTTGCACTAAGGCTAATACCTTGTGTTTAGCTGCATCCAATTCATCAACTGACAGATAGCCCACACTTAGGGACCTGTCATCGTGATGGGAGTACATGATGGTTACATAGATCACGTATCTTCTGAGCCATGCTACCGCTTTAATCAGCTTTATCCAATTTGAGTGATATAGCAGAATTGGACTTGAGCTATGTTTTAGCGCAACTGCGTTGGTCGTGTGGCATCTTTTAAATTCAACATTTTCCGGGGGGTTTTCGCACATAAGCGTCAGTGTTCCTACAGACTCTTTCTTCCATAAGAAGGAAGGACCCTCAATCCAGTTCTTTAAATCTAGCTCCTTCCGTATGCCTCGTGATGTCCAGTCAGCAGGATTTTCATGGGATTCTACGTGCCCCCACTGGTCCACAGATGTTAAATGACGAATAGCGGCCAGACGATTAGCCACGAAGGTGGAATACCTACTATCTGTATTTTTTATATAGTACAGTGCTATCATAGAATCCATCGAGAAGTGAGTCTTGTCAAACACATGAGGAAGGTTCTTATTTAAAACTTCCCCCATTCTAGCACTCAATACTGCCGCTGTTAGTTCCAGTCTAGGCACAGTTGCCTGTTTTATAGGTGCCACTCTAGACTTACTATAGAGTAAAACGATGTCCGGTGGTTTGCGCCTGAGTATGTTCCACGAATAGACAGAGGAACTGCAACCTGTCTTAGTCAGGATCTTCATCCTAAAGTCGGCAAGAACCCTACCAGCAAAGTCCAATCGCAAAACAGTATAAGGCAACGCATAATCTTCATAAATCGGAACTGTGTGGGTCACACCGTCACCTAAGTTCAACACTATACCAGTTGTACATAGTGTACATAGCGACAACACCGTTTGAGTAGCAGCACACGTACCTGGTGTATTAAAACTCTCAAACATGATCCTTGTCATCTCACAGTTTGCCTTCGGGTTCAATGAAACTGCTCTCAACAACCCCGGATGTTTCTCTGTTGCCACTCGCAACCCTTTGTAGAATGTGTGGTACCACATCTTCTCCATATCACCCCACTTAGTCGCAATACCATGTTCAATTCGGTACTTCAGTGTCAGGATAACACGTTTCGGTCGAGCATCGTCTCCCACATGACTGTCCTTTCCATCCATTTCCACAGTCACTTGATGTCTAGTTCTTCCAACAATAGGGAGTAATACGGCTATGGGAGCATCATTTTTGGTGAAGCCAGCTTTACACATACCAGACTCATTGCCAATAACAGGGGTAGCAATGTCTTCCTCAGCCACTCCTCTAGGTAAAGGAACAATATTATAACTTTCATCGAAGTAGGCATCGTGCTCTACTGTTGGAAGTTCATGACCTACACTTAGAGATTCCAAGGTCACTTTCTCCTTCGTTCCTGGATAATCTAACCGTTTTGACTTTTCTAGAGACTTTATCCTAAGGTCATGAGAAGGACTTACGAACCTGTGAACGTACTCCTTTTCTCTGTCATCACAGTTAGAAACAGAAGATAATTTGCTACACGTGCTTTTGTTCAGCCTTAACGACCCAAACTCTCTCTGAAAGCACAGTAGTTGTTTCCTCTGTCTATCTTTCAAGTCCCTCATTTCTAATAATTGCCTTTCTTTTAACTCTGCTAAGGTAATCCTAGAGCTAACTTTACTACGTTTACTTAATAAACTAACATTAGAGCCATGACATGAAAATGCATCTAATTTGACTTGCCGTACATCTGGAGGTGTATCCGATTGCATTTCTCCGTGGCCCAATGCCAAGTTTTCGTTGACCTTATTGTGCTTTCCAGGCATTCCAGAGTTTGTCACTTGAGATTACTGTTCGTTTGAGAACTGTAACGACCGAACAGCCAATATTCGGTTGGAACAACGGACTGACGAACCCAAAATTTATTCGATTAGACCAGACCAAGTTCCTCTGTATAGCTCACAACGCGTCTTTGAGATACTCGTATTATATTATATCAAAACACAAACTCTGTGCTCAATATAAACGGTTCTAATTAAGAAAACAGAACAAATTACATCAAAAATACAAAATACCTCAAACGGTACAGCCTGTGCTATACAGTCAGAAGTTTCTCTAACGCAAAGTAGCGCGCTAAACAATGAAAGAGACAGTTAATACTAAAGGGTTTGATACCTGAGAATCAATACAAATATTCCCAATAAGATGGGATCAAATATCTATCTGCAGGGATTGCAGCAATTCTCCCAAGCAGACAGTCAGAGGGTTAACAGTCACAAAATGAACCACGCCGTGACCTTGAGCTTAGTCAAACACAACCTTACTGTCAATGGTCCGGCAACATGCAATAGAAAATTAGGTAACAAAAATAAGTCTTTAATCAAAATCACATAATAAAGGCTCAAACGGGGAAGACTGAAGAACAAAAGACATGGTTAAACGAGGTCGAAACAAAGGTTGGAATACACAAAAGAGAGAAGGAACAAATAAATGAAAATACTGTTCAACAAAGAAGCTGCAGAGGGATTTTCACTGTTCTTTTTCCGTTACAAAACCCATTACCTATTGTAAACAATTTTCTTAGCTCTTTGCGTTAACTGCATGTAAATTATCGTTTTTTTCCGGATACAGAACTACATATTTAGATAGCTGAAAAAATATGTAGCGTAGACAGAATAATGGCATAAAATCTTCTTACAACATGTGAAAACCTGTTAGAATGCATCTTTCTAGGGAACGTTTGCTTGTGTCGACGAGTAAGTTATAGTGTCGTCCCATATTCATCAGCTACAGCTGCTGTTAACATATGCCAACAGGAAGGTTTCCCAGAATTTTTGTTGTGGCGGACGTTTTGGGGTTGGAGAAACTCCGTAGCCTCCTGTAATTTCTGGAAGACCTACCATAAGTGTTATAATGGCAACACAAATTAGAGTTATCTGTTTCTCGCCTTTTAGAAATAGATCTTTATCATAATGAACCTATTTTGTGTGTTCTCAATCATCTGAGATAATTCCGAATGTTTAGTAAACCAGTTAGAGTATAATAGAGATTTATGATTTCTTCCTGCGTCATCTGAGACTCTTGTTTAACAGGACAAACATCGATGCATGCGTCTTGGTGATCTTCACAGTTCGGTTGGAAGATACAGTCATTTCATTTACAGCATTATTTTGGGATGGAAAGGAAACCGCTTGCACCTGTTAGAGAATCCTAGATAGAAACATTTTTCCAAAAAGGCACTCGCCCAAAGTTCGTTATTCCGCGACTTCTCGTTTACGTCATAACGTTTCGGTTGCCGGGCTGTGCTGCAATCCGAGTGAGACTATGCTTCCAAAGTCAAAGGGACAAACAAACTTAGTCCAGTGGCTGACGAAATCAATTATACCGAAACCTAGTACAAAGGCTATTTACGTAATAACCTTTATAGTCAATTAAATACTTCGTCATCATTATGTAACTCTGGCATAAGCATGTAATGTTAAACAAAATTTTGCCATCCAGTTACGTAACACTAATAACGATATTATTACCAGATACACCTGGGTCTTTCTGGACTTTATAAATTGCTTACTGCTGCAATCGTCTTTGTAATAATCGTTTTCAATTGCTTACAATTTTTAAAAGGCTTCTGTCAAAGAAGCCACTGACTTGATTTTATTGTTTTTGCCCAGTTGTGCCCAATTTATTCTCTCTCAATATATCCGTATTCATGGCTCTGATTGTGTTTGGCATCTTCCTCATTGTTTTCAGAATTCACAACTGAAACACAGTAACAGTGACAATGTCTCACTGAAGTACTAGTGCTGTGGAATAGCAATACAAGGGCAGAAATGCCGGTATTAGATCTGAAATTACAGGCTACTTCAGCGTACAAAATTTATCCGAACACGTTGAATTAAATACTTCTATGTAAAGCATAAAACCTGTCTTAGTCACTTGTACCAAAGCATATGAAAATGAAACATTTGTGGTTCTATAGCAAGAAATCAAACACATTATGTTATATCCCGGTGAAGATTAAATTACAGGTAACTTCCAAGGACTATTAATGAACTAATATTCTATAAATATTCCTATTGAATAACTATTCAACAATTACATTATGTATATTTATATTCCTCTTATTATTAGGTTTATTTTGACCTATAATTTATTATTGTACGACTTACGGTTCTTAAGCTATGCTCAGTCCATTAATTACTGTCCCCCTCGTTCACAGCCACTTTTTGGCTTATTTGTGTACACATGTTATTTTCTATTTTATGGTACGCTGTGGTCTTTCTGATTGATATATAAACCGAGTATGTCTGAAATAAACGATTCGATTCGATTCATATTATAGTAGCTGGTATTGTGTTCTGGACTCAAGTGAAAGGGCTAGGAGGACATAGGACCAACCAGGACGCTAAACTGCTCATACCGGTTGAACGTCATTGGTTTGGCATAGTGCGAAGATTGTATAAGCCGTATTCTGATTGGTCGATAAGTCGCGTGATAGAAAAGTCAGACATCAAGAATACGAAACGGTCAAACGGTACAGGTCACTTTAAATAGTCACAGGACGCTCTGGCACAAAACGGTGTACTTTGTGTCAGAAAATGGTTGATAAACCTAATTACGAAGTAACTGAGAATCAAAGCTTTTCAAACAGAATATGGACACATGTTAATCCGAAGCATTTCATTTATTGTCAATGGTCCGTCACTTTCCAAAAACGGAATTGTTTTCACACTTCGCTACTCGCTAATTTTCAGTGAATCGTGACCATGTCTGCCATATCTTAACCACAGCAAGTAAGCATCTGACTTAATAGTCCACAAGATAATGCCATCTTCCAACCAAACCCACTGCATTCTCGAGACTCAGACAGTACCTTAGGTAATATTCAAGATACATCACCACAGTGTTTTATTAAAACCTGCATGTGATCACTTAGATGATTTCCTATAAATTATCAATGGTTCTCTTTTAATTCTGATTTTTGCTTCTTATGTATCAACAAATGTTGATTTTGATAAACTCAAATACAAAGGGAATTGGAGCAGTTCTATAGCCATATGATGAAAACGTGATACTGAGAGAAAGGAAATTAGGGGACTGGCAGTGCGAATGACTTTAAGTAGTCAATGAAGACTTATCATTTATAATGGAATAAAGTAAGGTATATTTGGTTGGCAGGTGGATTTGAAACTAAAACTTGTTATCTGAATTGACTACAACTAGAAAATCTTCTATGGCTCGAACTTATAAACATGTTTCTCAATAAAAATTGTACGGGTTCTTATTATCTTAAAAAACAATACATTTAATTCCAGGTAGTTTATTTGCATACTTTATGTATATATGCATCCAGTAATCGGTCCTTTATTTTATTTTTGCAGAGGAAACTTGTTGAAATAATTTATGCCGAGAATTCTATATTGCATCAAACACATACCTGACTAAAGCCAATGATAATGAAAGCTCCACCATTGTATAGACGTGTCAACTGTAGTGCACTCAGTCATGATGGAAAAGAAATTATCGTATAGAAAAAGTCATGTCTGCAATTAATTTTACAATAAAAATCATCCCAGGTATCCGCATTTGAGCGACAAAACAGACGAGAACACAGCTGTGTCTACTGACCACAATGCGCTTAATTGACTTGACAACATGAAGCTTTTTGTCAGCCTTTTCACATGTTCTCGACGTATTTTTGACTAATTCATTTGTGGAGTGTGTTACACTGGGACTATTATGTTATCATGCATATTGGGTACACTTCACTCCCGAAAAGTCGATCTTGGAGGTCAATAATCAGATAACACATGTCCATCGTGGGCTTGTTTTCCTAAATATTCTGTATAGGCCCTCAAAATTCAATATTAACACGTTTTTATCTCCTTGTAATACTAACTGAACACGTAATCCCTAAAATCTCTCGTAAACACACATTCATTTATTTCAGTAATAGCACTGTTAGTATTGATAATAACTACATACTCATATATTCTATTTGTTAACGATCTCACATTTTTGACTAGTAACTCCGGTAAAAGAGAAGTGTCACCAACTACCTCTAAACCAACCGAACTGTCGTAATATGTAATAAATCAGTACTTGACAAGACAAAACCTTCATCTTTTAAGCTCCACGTTTCTTACATGTATCACCACATAAACTGAAAAGCCAACACAGTGTACACATCAGTACGATTCACTAAGAGTGCGTGAACTGATAGTACCGCACGATCGCGTTACAGCGAGTAACCAACTAGAAACAAATTACATCACCGTAAATAATATAATACATATCTATCAAAATCATAATGTGAGTACACAAATGACATATCACTTCGCGGACATAGATGGGTCTATAGATCAGAAATTTCTAGACAAGATGAGGATTCTAACTGACATCAGAAAACAACAACACTTACCATTCTAATCTTGGCTGTTCTCTCAGTAAAGTATTTGAATACGAGCCATACGGTGACATACAACCAACTCAACCTAACCAGGTAAACAATGTTCCTTCTTAATGTTCAACACAAGCTGACCCGAATGAAGTTGAATTTATCTCACAGAATATTCCTAAGACACCAAGAAACTCTCTGGCCCTGGTAAGGAATGGTGGAAAGACTAAACCCATGACATCAAATAAAGAAATGCATAAGGTTCATCCCAAGGTCTTCAAGGAACAACAAACAAATTCTGTCCTCTGACGTAATTTAACCTATCCTCAACCTCTCTAAGCAGCAAAACTTGTAGTAAACACAAGCGTTATCAACCTTTGGTCGCCCAGACCAATAATAATGCCTAGAACTATCAATC